AAAACTCCCTATCATTATTTATCATATGTCAATATGCATCAGAATCTATTATTCATTATGGTGTTCTTGTGGTGGATGTTGAGGCAAGAGCATGTATATCACGAGTACCTTTGGTTGAGTGAGCATAACTAGCAAGGTTTCCCTTGGATGACGATAAGGTGGATGCATCCCCAGTGACACATCACATGTCGCTCCCTGCTTACTCTTCAACATCTCCAGTAACTCGTGATCTTCATCAGTAAAGACCATTGTCTCTCCCTCGTTCTCCGCTCTTTTACCCCTTTGCTCCCCATGATTACGACTACGACCTCTAGGCTATACATGTCCACCAGTTATTTCTCCTTGGGTAGATTTAGGCACATCTTGCTTAGGTGCCTGACTTCTAAGCAGTCGTAGCACCTGCGGGTCTCCCTTGAGCATCTATCCTACCTGAGTTTGAGGCAACCAAAGCTACTCTCATTCCTGGAAGTCCACTCGGCTGAGTTGAAACACGTGCTGAGATAGGATCCCATCGAGACACTAGCTCTTTGTATGAGTTCGACCAAAACCTTCAAAGTTTTAAGACCCATCTTCCTCAGAAGATAAAATCCTTTGCCTGCCATAATAACTCTTTGTTTAGTATTGCCCAATCAGCCCTTGCCAAATTCTATTCCGCGAGAGGCCGCTTAAACCTTTCTATTCGTCGAGCCCTGTGCAGAAATCCTCCGAACTGTGTGATCCACTGCCATAGCCTTAGTCGATTCGCCGAACTCCTCCCTGTGCGTATGCTTCCATCTGCGACCGATCTTGATTGTGCCTGTCGCACCTCCCAGGCTACACTTGATCTTCTCTCGCACAATCTACGCAACGGGATTGTCGATCATTCTCCCTCCTTGCATGGAGCCTCTATATTCACGAGACCATTAGCCTTGCACAATGCCGTGACTTTCCTTTGCTCTGTGCCAGTCCGCTTTTTTCCTCCTGCGCACAATGCCGCTCTGCTTTGTCCTAATCCGCATGTCAGAGATGAGCGATCTTCTCTGTGTCGTATCTCCCTAACTTTCTCCCACCTCTCGCACGAGTATGCCGCAACCCACGAAACAGCTAGCAAGGGAACCAGTGACAGTTTCGACGATGAACAAGCCGCCCAACCCAGTTTGCTCTGATCGCTATTGTTTCGTGATGAGGAGGAGATGAAGAGGACGCTCGCGAAGAGGAGGATGCACGCCAATCAGCCCATTGTTGGTACCATAAAGAATTGATTTCTCTAGAAAAAACTTGTTCAATTCATCAATCACTTAGGCTTATATAAAGCCTTACACCAATTTACAAATAACTTCCTAGACTTTTTTTTTATATTTCCTAGTTACAATTAAGACTCTAAACTAGAAACAAATTTCAACAGTTTTGGGTAAGGTGATAGCTGTGCGGTGTGGTTTGCATGTTAATGCTAAGGAATGTATTGACCAATCTTAATACTCTGAGGTTAAATGTAGATTTTAGGTCGGAAATGAGTTTGTATATGGCGGTTTGAACACTTCCTGTTATAAGCATGTCATCCACACAGACAAAAAAGTAAATGGTTACCAAATGATGCTTGTCAATGAGAAAGGACGGGTCACTACCGAGGCTGAACTGGTTTGCTTGTAGATGATTAATTAGTTTGTGGTACCCTGATCGAGGAGCTTGTTTGAGGTTGTAGAGCGCCTTTCTCAGCAAGCATACTGGATGAGGCTATTGGTGATCTCGGAATCCCAGAGGTTGACACATGTAGATGGTTTCCTCCAATGAGCCATGAAGGAAAGCGTTAATAATATCAAGTTGGCATACAGGCCGCCGGTGTTGGAGAGCGGTGGTGAAGAGAATGCGTATGATGGGTAATTTTGCTACCGGGTTGAAAGTAGTGTTGTAGTCTAAGCTTGCTTATTGTTTGAAGCCTTGACCACAATGTGAGCTTTATACTTGCCACTGTTTCATTTGAGTTGCACTTCGTCCAGAAGGTCCACTTGCAACCGATTATGTTATGGCGAGGTGGAGGACCGACAAGAATCCAATGTCTTGTTGTTGGTGAGCTTGAAATTCTAAAGACATGGCTTGTCACTAGTGGAAATGTTTGATAGCTTGAGCATATGAAGTATGGTCAGCCGGAATGGAGACGGAGGTGTTCAGGTTGAAGGATTGGAGTTAGTGGTCATGAAGTATCTGGTATGGTTGAAATTTCGAGTGAGGTGGGGGTGGTTCGGGTATGGGTGAAATTTCAAGTGAGGTTGGTGAGGTGTTACTGTGAGGGTGTGAAGTGATTGGAGTTAGAAGTGTTGGGGGAATGTTTGGAGTGGATATGGATGGTGTGATAGGATGTGTATTGATAGTGAAATATGGGAAGCTTTGTTCGTTGAATACAACATGACGAGAGACGATTGTTTGGTGGGTTTGGGGGTTATAGCAATAATAACCTTCGTGGAATGGTGAGTGCCCAATGAAAATACATGGAGTTGTGGGAGATAATTTATCGAGAGTTTCAGGTTTTTACTGTGGAAAGCATAAACAACAAGAAAATATGAGGTGAGAGTAGGTAGGAGGGGAGTTTTGTAGTGGTTCGTGAGGGATTTTAGGCATGCAGTTTTGGAAGGCATCCGATTGATGACATAAGTTGTTGTCATGAGGGCTGCAGCCCAAAATTTGGAGCTTAGATGAGCGATCAGAAGTAAGGTTCTTGTAATTTGAATGAGATATTATTGTTTTCTTTCAGCAACCCTATTTTGTTAAGGTGGATAAGGGCAGCTAAATTGGTGAAAAATGTCTTGAATTTGTAGATAGTTTTGTAAGTAGTGAGATGTGAATTGTCCCCATCTATCGATGCGAAGAATTTTTATGTTCTTATTGAATTGATTTTGAAGCATTTTGTGAAATGAGATGATTTTGCTAGTGGTTTCAGATTTAGCAACCATAGGAAACACCCAGAGATAGCTAGAATAGTCATTAACTAGAAGAAGATAGTTCTTATAACCTTGAGATAACATGGTAGGGGCAGGTCCCCAAACATTAGCATGAATAAGTTAAGCAAGACATTTTGATTTTGAACTAGAAATAGGAAGAGACTGTCATGACTATCCGACGAGTTACATTCATTACAGAAAGAAAAAAAAGTAGGTATGGTTGTAGGAGCTGTTATGGAGATAGCCTTGGTGGTGGCTTGATCAGGATGACCTAGCCAGCGGTGCCATATTGCGATAGAAGATATGGAAGTACTGGGAGCAAAATAGGTGGAGAAGGGATAGAGACCATCCTTGCTAGGTCCTTGAAACAGAGTTTGGTTTGTCCTCTGATCCTTGATAATAAAATCAGATTTGTTAAAGAAAATATCACCATTGCTATCGCAGATGAGTTGGACAGAGATAAGATTGTGAGTTAGGTGTGGTGAGTGTAGAAGTTGAGGGAGTTGAAGCTTACATTGCGGCTTTTGTAGTATATGTTTGCCCGAGTGAGTGATGGGAATTGTCAAACCATCCCCAATAGTGACTGAATTGGATCTAGAATACGGTGTAGCAAGTTGAAGGTGCTATAGATTGGATGTGAGCTGAGAGGTTGCACCGGAATCAAGCAACCATTCATCAGTTGGAGAATTATTGGATGTTATAAGGGCTGCATCAATTTTTATAGAGGGATACATGTTAAAGCTAGCTCGGTGCTTGGTAATTGTTTTATGTCCCGATTTACCACATATTTGATATCTAGGGTAGAAGGAAGGAGTTCCAAAGCTGCAGTCACCTCGAGCAGATTGAGAGTTGCCACAAGTGTTAAAGGTACCTTTGGGGCCATGAGGTTGTTTTGCTTGACCACAGTTAGCTGCATTGTTTCCATATTGAGGGGTGTAGAGAGCCATAGCCTTGATGTTTAAATCCTTAGCAAGCTCAGCTGAAATATTGGTCTCTTTGCTGCATAGTAATGAGTAGAGGTCTTCGAGCTTGATGGGGTCCGACCGTGTGCGGGTGGCGGTTTTGAAGGATTGAGAGGATGTTGGTAAACCGTTAAGGGTGTGAAAAATGATGTTTTCAGGATCAATATAACCACTAGCTGCAGCAATGTTGTCGACAAGTGATTTAATTGTGAGAAGGTATTGAGTCATTGATTGGTCCTTCATATAAATGTGGTGGAGTTCATTTCGAAGTTGGATAACACATGGTATATTGGTCAATTAAAGCCGGCTGAAGAGGGTTTTCCAGATTTCCGACATGGAGTCAAAGTTGAGAATGTAGGGAAGGATTTTGGGAGAAATTGTGGAGTAGATGGCTATGGATAACTTCTGATCAATGAGTTGCCATGTAAAACATTGCAGGTTCTGGATTATGCGGTCGTTGGAGACTTGGATTTGGGATGGAGGACAAATAGTCGAGCCATCCAAGAAGTTATCAAAGCCATTGGCCTTGATGAGCTTGTGAATTTGGGATTTCCAAGCGGGGTAGTTGTCAGTTATAAGTTGTATGTAGGCAATGTTTTTGATATTTGACATCAAAAATTTGAAAGAAAGAGGGTATAGGGATTTTAGCCATGTTGAGGTGAGAGGATTTGAAGATGAGTTTGTATAGGAAGAGGAGATAGACACTTTGAGAAAAGCAGTAGAAGAGAAATGGAGAGATTAGGATGTGAACCTGGCTTGCTCTGATACCATGAGAAACTCCTTTAAGGATTTTGAAGACTTAAAATCTCTAAAGCTCCAATACAGGTAACAGAGAGAACATGGAAGAAAAAAAGAAATCCACTCAAGGTTTTGCATTTAGCAATAAAACCATACACAACTAGATATATATGTACTACCTTTTTACTGTTATATTCTCCATTTAATTGCTTATCATATGTACTGCCTTTTTTACTGCTATGTGAGATATATATATATATATATATATATATATATATATATCTCACATATAAAGCTAGTAAATATGATAAGCAATTAAATGGAGAAGTGGAGACCCGAGAGACGCAGGAGGCAAAGCCATTTGTCCATCAGTCAGATTCTGTTATAAAGGAAATAAAGCCTTTTCCGCAAAGATGTTAGAATAATATATAGGGATTTTATACATATATGTATATATTATCTTCAAATCTGCCATGAATCCACTAATGCAGCATTTTCAGATGTCAAGGTGGAATTCTCCAGCCTTTCATTCATCGCTTTCTAATACATGACTTAACTGATCAATCAAGTTGCAAAAAACTTCATGCAGAGCGGGGGATTGATCTTTGCGAGAGCGAGCAACGACGAAGGAAGAATCCACAGCCCGTCCCCACAGATCAAACCAGAAGCAACTGCCGGCACCAAAAGTGCAGCCTTTTGGCTGTTAAACTGATGCCAGAAAAAAACTATCAAACTCCCCACACACATATCAATAGCAAAGCTAGCCCCAACCAAAAAGGGAACCGCCATGGCCATCGGATTCCATACTTAGTTGGGAAGAGATCCCTCATCAGGTTAGCTGCCACGGCAAAGCCAAAGAAACCATAGCAAAGCTGCAAGCAGTGTTGAGGAAGTGCAGAGAAGCCCTGAACACCCAAAATGGCCATGTTTCGATAGATGAGAGCATATGGAGCTTTGAAGCTTCCATCCGGATTTCCGACATCGAATGCTTTATAGAAAAGGAAGAAGGTCAAAGGAGCAATAATGCAGCCCATGGACGTTCCAATTGCCTGTGAGAGGAGCATTGATGTTGGTGAAGTGAGGGTGAGATGGCCTGTCTTGAAATCGTGCATAAGATCAGCAGAGACAGAGACGACTGATTTGATCAAACCACAACCTACAAGACCGGCTATCACTCCCGAGTCTTTCCCTGCCAAAGATGCAAGGATGAAGAGAGCCACTTTGCCATAGTTGTATGCCATGTTCATGTCAGTAAGGCCCGCTCCATATGCATTGCAGAAACCGAGCGCAGGTGCGAGGAGATAGGCTGTTATTACATAGTACCATTTCACCACTGGGAACATGGAGGGAATGGCAACGAGGGCAACTATGGTGAAGACTGCATAACCAGTGTAAGCTACCCATATGGGAATATTCCCTGTGACGAATAACTCATTTCGCCGTATATCGTCGAGAAGGTAATTGTTATGCTCTGCTACTATAGTTCAGAGTTGCAGTTTGAATAAAGAAATTGAACATGGTAAACTTGTTGTTTAAGATTCATTGCATAGTTACCTTTTTTAATGCTTTTGTTTCTTGATCTAGCATGCATGTTTCTTGCTATGAAAGCAAGAATTTTGAGAAAATTGTAGATTCCATCTCCAAGAATGAGGGCGATGGAGATGAAAACCTGCAAGAAAAGATGGTGTATGAGGAGCAGAATCAATGAAATGATAATGAAGGTACTTTCTAATTTGCTTATTAAGAATGAAATAAATTCAATGTTATGAACCTTGTAACCCTGCAAGCTCTTCATGCTGCTTTCTGGTATGTCAAAGGGATACCACTTGCCTTTAAGTTCACTAATAAGAGGCCACATTAGTCCCCATGAAAGAACAGCTCCAATCAGAAGAGAAATGTTAACTAAGTAAGAGCAAATCATTCCAGCTCCTACATAGGTAAGGCTGAAATCAAAGAAAAATCTGAAAATTTACAGTTTTGGTTAGAGCTTAGAATCATTTCTAAATTACAAAGAGATGGTGCAGGAGTTATGTTCACAAATGTTACGTTTGTTTCCATGCATTAAGGCCAAATGTAGGAAACTGCGAGAATCCACACACATCTCCTCCTGAGAAAAACCACTGAAAAAAGCTCCATAGAAAACTGATGGCGAAATATTTCGCAAAACCTTGTACTTGCTTTCTGTGGCAATACGAAATAGCATTAGCAGTTGAAAAGCTTGACTCCGATCTTTTGCTTTGTTCTAAAGTGATGGAATTTTATATCTTACTTGGCCATTTTATCCCCTTTAGGAGTATGGAAGCCATTGATTAGAACTGCAGTTGCAGTACCGCTTGGAAAGGTTAGCTTGTAATCAATAATCATGATCTGAATATTCGATGAGTTAGGCATTGATAAATCAAAGAAGCAGCAATTATTGAAGGAACTTCAACAAAAAACAAAAAATCATTAGTGTGAGATGTGTCCCTCCTTAGAAATAAGTAAATATCTTTTGCTTTTTTTTTCTTCAGGGACAATTACAAATGGAAATAAAGAAAAGACAAACGGAGGCAGATGCATATGTTGATGACTAAGAATGCGACAGGCAATTGGCTAAATTGATATATGATTGGTGCTCAATTATAGATGGGCGGTAAAATCATTCAAATTGACGTATTTAATTGAAATATATGACATAGAATCAAGGAATATTCATATCGGTCGTGTCAAATACTATATTTTAGATAATCCAGACAGGGGTTGATAGAAACATTTTATTGGATAGTTTATTTCAATTATAACTAGTGCATGCCATGCGCATCCTTTTCACAAACAGTTCTGCTTTTGTCTAATTAAAGTAAGAGGTGACAATTTGATCTATATAGCCCCAAAGAATTGCAAACTTAACCTTAAAAATAAAATATTTGCAAAACAAACCAAGCACCTTTCTTAGAGGAACCAACGCCAAGATCCCCACAAAGCTAACAGCAAACAGATAGCCAATCATCCAACCAATGCCAGGCTCTTTATAACTCCCAGGCGTATTTCCCTCTGTATCCAATCCAGCTTGTTCATAAGTCTTCTTATTCAAAGCCAAGAGATAAGACCCAAATCCTCCTGCCATATGAACCAAAATCAGCAAAGCATATTGATGCAAAAACTCCATGAATTCTTCAATCATGCAGAACACAGTCCAACCTCCCACGGCTATGCTATAGCAAGCAACAGCACAAGTCTGGACCACAGTATTCTCCTGCCTGGTAAAGGGCTTTGCGGTGAAACCAGCCTTGTGAAGAACTTTAGTCCAGCAACGGAGGAAGACGAAGGCAAGGAGTGCAGCGGAGACATTGAAGGTAGGCACAAGACCGGTGGTCAGATTCAACTTCATCACAATCACACTGTACATGATCCCAATGGCGAGGCTCGCTATGAGACCTCGGAGAGTTATATGGGTTGACCATGGAGGAATCTTCCCTGTCTCAATGGCTTCCAAATCACCATTGAATTCCTCCAAGTCCTCTCCTTTCTCCATTTCCCGCTTCTCTATGGTTTCCACCATGATAATATGGCCGCCAAAATCAGGTTTTGCCAAGATCAGCGTTTGAGAGAAATTTTTTAGAACTCCTCTGCTCTGTAAACCAGGAGGTGATTCAGAAAGAAAGCCGGTGTCTTTGTACTTCTAGTTCAAAAATCCATAAATGGCCGAAATTATTGATGGGGGAAACCATGCATATATATCTAATGGATCTTGGAATCTAACCTGGGTACTTCTCAAAGCTAAAAATGGCAACAATTCGTCGCTTGCAGTGATGAGATGAAGAAGATGATCTCCAGGACTTGCAGCCGACTCATCAGTACCAAATCTCTCTCTCTCTCCTCTCTCTCTCTCTCAGCTGGCCATTGGAGGGACTAGGTAGTTCTCTCTCCTCTCTCTCTCTCTCTCTCTCTCAGCTGCCAATTCGTCGCTTGCAGTCCAGGTAAAGCAATTCGAGCAGGAAGGTCTCTCTCTCTCTCTATATATATATATATATATATATATATATATTATATATATATTTTTTTTGTGTGCGAAATGTGTATAAGCATTTTTCTTGTGTACGAAATGTGCGGAGGTTTTCTATGCGACCACGGGACGTCGACAGGATTAGCAGGTCGGCGCGTGGCCTAAACACGCCTCGGCGGATATTTTAAAGTTAGGGGTTAGAAAATTCAACCCACGGGAAAATTTTTGAGTTTAGATGTTCTAATTTAAATGTTATTAATATAATTTTCGAATTTTTATTTAATTTATTTTACTATATATATTATTTACCGCACGCATTCCGTGAATCCGTGTTCCATAGCGAGAAAAAATTATTAAATTTGTAGTCTAATAAATCACCTCAACGTGAAGCTGACAAAAAAAAAAAACTTGTTTTCTTGTAATCTGGCCCGATAATATTGGGAAATATTCATTCTGTGTTATTCGCATTATTCAAGTATTATTGTAGTGGTATTGATGTGTTATTGTGTTATTATAACACCGAGAATATTTTCATAACACAATAACACATGAATACCACCGGAATAACACCTGAATAACACAGAATAACACGGGAGGAATATTCTTCTTCGCTAAAACTATTTTTTTTATTTTTCTTTCATTTTTACGGAACGTGATTTCATTAAACTCCATACGTACCTCTACATCTAGAATCTGAACGTAATATTTATTCCATAACGGATGCTTATTTGCTAGTATATATTGGGATTATTTTTTTTATACAAGTCATGTGGGAACACTTTTTATACGGGAATTTACATATATACCACCCAATTTTTGTATATCTGAATATCAAAACTAAGGTTTACTTTTTACATTTATACCACCCTTAAATTTCACATCACGTCACATCACATCAATTTTAACTTTCAAGCAAGTGACATACAATAGTTTAATGCATACATAAAATTGCATTTATGTAAAAATTGAAATTCGAGTGTGTCGTATGTAAATAAATAAAAATTGAGTGGTATGTATGTAAATCTTCCTTTTTATAAATAAATATAAGTAGAGGGCTCGTTAATTTTATTCAATAAGTTAACGAGCCGAACACGAACTAAGATGTATTCGTTCGTGTTCGGCTCGTTTTGGCTCGAAATACTACTCATCAAGTTTATATATATATATATATATATTAAGTAGTATTTTAAAAAAATCTAATTGTCTACATAGCTACAAAGATTTATAACAAATTAAAATATTGATTAAGAAAATGGAAGAAAAATTATTAAATTAGATTCAAATGATGTTTTAATATAAATAAAAATTTTTAAATCTTGCTCAAACACTTATTTTCTTATGGCTACATGTTTAGGGTTGTTAAAAGGACTCTTTGTTTGTGAACAACTCGTGTTCGGCTCGTGTAGCAAAAAAGACGCTCGTGTTCGGCTCGTTTACACCCTCAAATATAAGCGTGTAGTTTCGGGCAGAAGAGGGCTATGCTTTGAGTCATATAGAATTATTATAATATATATATTTTTAAATAATTTTAACTTTCTTACTTAATTTTAGGATCATTAATTGTGCAAGATTTTACAGACATTACGGTTTAGCTTTTACTAATAGAGATGATGAAAATTGAGAGCAATCATGGTTAAACTCACCCAAATTTTAAATGTATGACAATGAACAAGTTCGAAAAAAAATTTGGATTATATAAACATGTGGCATATGTCTTTTATTAAGTGTGTTTAATGACATAATATACTTGCTATGTAAAAAAAAATATCTTATTAAGCACAAATCAAGAAGCAAGTTATTTATACTTAAAAATAATATTCTAATCGTTAGCGCGTGCCGATGCATATTGTCAAACATTGTCAATCATTTGTGGTCGAACAACATCAACACGTGTTGAAGACTGTCAACACGCATTGTTAACTAATTTTAATGATCTTGTTGATATTTTTTTTTCTCTTATTTGATGTATCAACCACAGATCTTGAAAAATTTATATTTAAATGAGTAGATATATCATTTGAAGTATAATATATCACTCATAAACTCATAAAGAGAGAAATATTATCTTAAAATAAATCTAATCATTCGGATAATAAAACTCTTTAAGATTTATGGTCTACAATAATCATAAATTTTTTTCGCTACTATACGGGTGTAAGATAGGTTTTATTTTAATTTTGAAGTTTGTTATTCCTTTAAGGGCAAGCCTTCATAGTTAATTACATATCAGAAATTGTTTACTCCAAGAAAACTCTCGATCAAAGTATTTACTTGTATCATTTAGCATTTTAAGGTTGGCGTTTTAAAATTTTTCAAATAAGTAAGTTTTAGAATTTTGGAGATGTTTATCTATAGAATTGAAGGTTTTGGACTTACAGTCAAACAACGATGTGTTGTGGAAAGACACGGGAATAGGATTAATCAACTCAAGGAAGAAAGTGTATCCTATAGATTGAAATTGAGAAATTTTTTAAGGAGTTAGGTTTGGGAATTAGGGTGAAGTGAAAAAAGATTTCAGAATGGATTGGATTTAGGCATAATAAGTTAGATTCGAAAAGTTTGACTTGAAGTGTTTAACTTGAATTGTTTGATTTAAATAATTTGAATTTATTAGAAGTTCGATTTCAAAGATCTAAAGTGTAAAGTTTAATTTGATAGCTTAGTTTCAAAGGTTTGAAGTGAAAAGTTTGATTTCAAAGGTTTGAAGTGAAAAGTTCGACTTCAAAGGTTTGATTTGATGGGTTTGGTTTCAAAGATTTAATTGTAAGGCCTTAATTTGAATGATTTGAGTTGAAAAGATTTTGATTTCAAAATGTTTGATTTGAGTTAAAAAGATTTTAATTTCAAAATATTTGGTTAGAAAGATTTGACTTCAAAGTTTTGATTTGATTCCTAAAATAAAGGAGCAAGATTAACTGACAAGATTTCTGGATAGAAGTTGAAAGTCTAACCTTAAGATAAATCTGGACTCTATATGAAGGCTAAATAGGTAAACTAACCTGAATTTGGGTATGACATCTTCGATCAAAATTCTTATGGTTTTACATTGTCCCGTGTTCATAGGTAGCCTAAGACGATTGATAGTCAAAGATCTTCATTATTGTTATAACAATGATAAGTATAGTCCTTCTAAACCATTAGGTGAGCAGAGGTGCATTTATCAGTAATCATGAATGACTTCATTCTAGGACACCTACATAGTCAAAAGGGGGTTATAGGTTTAGGGTTTTATAAGCCCTAGTCCTTAGCACTAAATAGGGATACCTAGTAATCTAACATAGGTTTCTAGACTTAGAATATTCTAGGGTCATGAATAGACTGATGTTTCATTTAAAAGTTTGTTAAATTAGGGTTCATAATTGATCTGATTATGTATGATTTCAATTATTTAAATTGGTGAATTTTAATTTTAATTTCTTTAAGGTTTAATATTTTATTTATCATTTGTTTAGGGTATGTTTGGAAGTAAACTTGTTTTTTTATTTTTTGTTTTTGTTCTTTGTTTTTGAAAATAAATACAAACAATAAACAGAAAAATATTTTTTTAATGTTTTTTCCTCTATTTATAAAAATTATTTTTGAACAAAATTTAGTTGTTTTCAAAACACAGAAAGCATGTGAAGTGTTTTTAAAATAACCAAAACACGCTAGGCCTTTAATAAATTCAACTAATAATTTACTTAATTAAATTAATTAACTTAATAACTAAAACTTATTAATTATTTAATTTCACTTAATAATTTAATTATATAACTTAATAATTATAAATTTTCAATAACAAATCTACTTAACTAACTTAATAATTAGGGTTTAGGGTTAAATATATAATAATTCAAATAAAATATTTATTATTTAATTAGTTAACTTAATAATTCTAATTTAATTAATTAATTAACTTAATAAAATATTAATGATTTAAGTAATTAACTTAAAATTTATAAATTTTAGTTAGTTAAAATAATAATTATTAATTTAATTAATAATTTATTTCAATTAAAAATTTAATTAATTAAAGTTAATTAACTTAATAATTATAAGCTTATTCATTAATTAATTTTAATTAAAAATTATAAAATTAAGCTAATTAATTTAATAACTATATATTTACCTAATTAATAAATTCAATTAATAATTTAATAAATTAACTTAATAATTATAAAATTTTAATAATAAATCTACTTAATTAACTTAGTAATTAATTACTTATACCAATAATAATTCAAATAAAATATTAGTCATTTAATTAATTAACTTAATAATTATAATTTATTTATTTAATTAACTTAATAATTATGAAATTTAATTAATTTGTAATTTTAATTAATAATTTAATTATTTAACATAATTAGCTTTATAATGAACAAAAACAAAACAAATTAAAAAATAAAACAAAAAGTGATCCCAATTAGACTTTATAGTTTGTCGGTTAATAAAAAAATCAAGTGTTTTATGTTTTCTTAGATTCATTGGTTTCTAGTGTTATTGTTCTAGCTTAGATCGAAGTTTCAAGTACTTGGGTTTTTCTAGAAAATTGGAGTTTATGTGTTAATTATATGCATGCTAAAGAGATTCTCATATAGACCAATTAACTCTCATATACTTTCATATTTAACATTTAAATTAATTTATATGCTTAACATTCAATATTGTATATTAAAAAATTTATTTATCACCCACAAAACTATTATTTTAAAATTTAACTTTCACATAAAGAAATATTACTAATTTTAAATATCATTAAAATTTTAATATCTGACATAAAATAATATTTAAAATTTTAATTTTCACATAAAAATATTATTAAAATATTACATTCTTTTTCACTCAAAAAATATTTAAAATTTTTATTTTTCACATACAAAAATACTATTTAAAATTTTATTTTTCACACACCAAAAATATCATTTAAAATTTAAATATTTCACAAAAAAATTATGTACCCCACAGAAGTATTTTATTTTGATTTATTTATTACTTATTATTTATTTTTTTAGTTTTTTTTTTTTTAGATTTTTAAATGTTTAGTTAAGCATATAAATCCACAATTTTTTTTGTATATAAATATATGAGAATTAAGTGGCATGTATGTGAATTTTTTTTAGATTATACAATGAGAAACTCCTGACTTAAACAAACTGCACATGGAACTAAGTGCTTTGCTTGCAAACATATGAAATGTTAAGATCTAAGTGTTTTTCATGAGAAGTTCTCAACTCATGCAAACTACACATAAATTTACTTCTCAAGATGAAATTACATGTGAAATAAACTACTTACACTTGGAAGGGACTTCACATAAATAACCTACATTAAGATTGCTTAGCATCACATGGACAAATTTAATATGAACATGAACTTCACAAAATAAAATTTGCATGAACATAAATAACATACATGAAAATTAATTTCACATAAACAATCTGAAAATGAGACTGCACATGAAAATTATTTCAATTTCATATACTTATCACAAAGAGAAAACGCATGGAGAAAATATATCGAGGAATCTACGCATAAAAGTCATCTTAATTACACATACTTAACGTATGAAGAAATCTACACATTAAAGTCACTTGAATTTCATATACTTAACCCATGGAGAAAATAATGTTAATGTTATTATGTTATGTTAAATATTATCATATATTTGGAATGAGATGTCAAACATAAATATCTTTAGTTTAATGAATCCAACAAGATTATTCTCTTACATTAATACCCATAAATCAAAAAATGTTTAGGCAACTTGAAGTTAGTTATCATGTTACTTAAAATACCATAATTCATCTTTGACATCTGTGTATTAATAAGATTATAGGTGTATTTTATATTTCAACTTGTGTGTGCAGATATCATGATATAATTTCATCATCTTCACCTTTTGATTTATTTCTTACGTGTATAATTATTTATTCTTCATGTTATCTTTTGAAATAGTTCAGTTTTTTCTTCTAAAAAATGTTTCATATAAAAAAAAATTACTTTCATATGTGCAGTAACTCATTTGCTTTAAGTTGAGTTTACTTAACCAAACATCTATTTTATTTATCATGCATAGTCAAATTATTTGTGTATTTATATTATCATCCTTTTTTTTAGTGTAGTTGTATTTCATTGGTGTAAGTTGTTTTCATTCCATGGAAAAAATCCATTAGATGGGATATAAACTTAAGATTAAATCTTTAATGAGCACTGTTAAAGAGCATAAATCATTGAACAAAAAAAAATTATTTAATTATAGTCCAAGCTTCATATGATTGTGCTAAGTGCTTATGTAAGTTTGACATACCACTTTAATTTATTAGACCATATATAAGAATATTTTTTAAATAAAATTAAACTATTTTAAGTATAATTATGTTATAAGTCTTTGAAAAAGGACTTATTTTGAAATTAAATCCCATGACTTTTTTAGACCATAAAAAAGGTCAAATCTTTTTTAAAAATTAAAATTAATTTTTCTACATAAAGGTCTCTACATATATATTTATATTTCAAAATCTACTTTTACAATTATATGTATAAAAGTGCCCTGCACAATTAAACCCTTAAGATTGTGCCAGAATTGGTGACTCTATCAAAATAGTATGAACTTACCCTTGACCTCACATACTCACACACACCTAGGTGTTATGATAAAACACACATGCAATACATTATTTAGTTTAAGGTATGATGCTATTATGATTTTTACTAGCTTTTATTCTATGTTACTTTTTGCCTAGCTATATGTTTTTCTTTTTAGTTTTCTTAATATGTTTACTAGGTTTGAGATATTTGAACTAGGATAGGGTTTATGTGGTATTTTTATAGAGAGTTCTATCCATTAGGGGGAAAAGCCATAATGAAATATAATCCTTGTTTTCTATATGTGTTATATTTTTAGTTCCCACATCAACTATGATTCATTATAGGTTTCCATGTCTTATAGATCCACTAATCCCTCTGCTGTAGGTAATTTTTTTCATTTTTATTTATGAAATCTATATAAACTTTTAAATTTCTAAGGTTGAGTATACTAAAAATAAGGTACATACATGATTTCCGTAAAATTAGGGATCAAAATTGTGCTTAAAAGAGTACCAAGAGTATTATAGCTCGTGTCTCATAGCTTTATTCTAAATCTATTGTTTTATAGATTTAGAATTGAGTTGCATATACTATGCCCAACCACATTTTCACTATTCTGACATATGTTGCCAACTTAGTGGCAGCCGACATTTTTTTTTTATTTTTTAATATTGGTGTGATTTTATCTTTGACCATGTATGCTAACTTTTTATATTTTTTTTATTGTGAATTTTTTGCGCTCTTGTCAGTCCATTAGTCACTTAGGGAAAAGCTAACTTTTTTGTAAAGTTTTAATAGTTTTGTCAAATTAAAATTAAAATTGTAACCAAAACAATACATTTATTCATAATATAATTTTCCTCTTTATTCGTAGCCTCTATCCAAATTGTAAAAATTAGAAGAATTAATTATTTAACCTTTAAGATTCCACTGATCACTATTTGAGCTTTTTTGTACCCCTCACTAGAGGGTCTGTTTGGGGCAGCTTGTGCATTTCAGGATAAACAACTTATTCTGAAACGCGGCCCGCAGGTTGACCGTGGGGGTCGACCCGCGGCTTGTGTTTAGTGTAAAAAATTTAAACGCGGCAAACAACGTTTTCAAAAACGAACAAACCAAACCGTTCTACGACGTTTTTGAAAAGGCCGCCGCACTTATAAGCTACCCCAAACGGACCCTAAATTCTGCGAAGCATTGAGCTCGGGATGGTTAGTATGAATGTCATCATCTAACACATTCTTAATTAATAGAGATTCTAAATCATGGATAAATAACATTTTTGTCGTATCATGTACTATGAGAAGTGTGCATGCTTCTTATCTGATTGACCACATTATTTTAACATTTTTAGGTTGTTGTCTAGAATGCTTAGGCTATTTAGCAGTAGTTCTAACTTAGGATTATAAGCACGTGGTTTGTAGCCTCAATCATGATTAAGATATTTTTATATATTCTTTATTTTGGTCATTTTATCATTCTATGGTGAAACAAAGCTGCATTTTATCTTTTACTCCCTGAAAGAGAGTATTTCAATTTTAAGTTGATTTTTATATTTTGTTTATGGTTTATAAAACTTCATTAGATGACGGTATAGGCATCATTTTTTCGATGTCACGATTATCGGGGGCACATCTGTATGAGTCAAGATGGTCTACGACTCATTCGTAGCATCTGGTAGCTAAAGACACCTACCCGAGACTTTCTAGCACTTGTTCAGAGTATGGAGCTAGAGTTAGTAGTGATTCAACATTACTCGGGAAACCTGCCGCCGAGAGGGTCGTTCGAGACATGAAATGTGTAGTGCCTAATTTAATGATTATAATTCACCACAAGTCCGTTTGGGGCCTCCCGCGATCAAGGGAAGTCACGGAGTTCACATATGCGTGCAACGAAAAAATTAGGGTTTGGGACACCTACATGCGCTGCAGTGCAGGATGGTCATCAACACCAATTTCCTTGGTGATTTACCAACCATAATATTTGTTTTAGAGTAATGGGTTATATTTCACTCATACATAGTTTCCCATAGCTTACGAATCAAGAAAATCCTCAATCAAACACTCTTGGTGAAAATCAGGGTTTCAGGCAGACTGACGCTCTGGTGCCGACCAATGGGGCCTACGCACCCAAAGTGCCTTCCTAGACCATCGAGCTCAAGCCTCCGAAGTTCTAGCACTTGCTTTTGGCATTTGGACATCTTTTGGTTGTTTAATGGAAACCGATTAATAGGAACAAAATGCATAGACATTTAATATGTTGGTTATAATATTTGTGGACCGAACAGTAGGGGAGAGAGGTCCCATTTTTACTTTTCATGATCAATACTTTTGATATAGTGTTTGCGAGAGAACAAGCCACTTTTTGGCGGTGGCCATTTTTTGCCCATACACAAGTCTTCGAGGGTAATCAATTCGGCGGGAACAGAGCAGGCTGTAGATTATCTTGACCCGTGCAGAATATTGTTTAGCACACAATTAATATTATAAAAACTCTAATTCGCGTTTCTTAAGCGAAGAGGGTAATTAAAGAACTGTTTATAATTTGGCCTTGTATTGCTAAGTCAAAGGTCTATCAAGTTCAAAAGGAAAATTTTCTCAAACCAACGGCTCAGATTCTGTCGTCCGTTAAGTTAAGCATCACATCAAATTCTTGATTTTGACGTGATGATGGACTCCCTCCAACGGTAATATTCATTTCAAATGTTTAAGGGCTAAACCAAAAACGCGAACTTCCGTTCCAAGATCTAGTAGACCCACTTGTTATTTTGCTTTTGCTTTGTTTAAGTCGCTTGCAAGAAACAAAGAGATTCATCTCGCCCTCAATCCAGAACCCTAACCCTAGGTTTCGGCCCCCTTAGCCTTGCTTCAGGGTTTGCAGAAGATATGGAGGAGATCGATTCCACGAATGATGTCTTTGATTCTATGCTCTGCATTCCTGAGTTGAAGATCGTTAAGTCGGGATTTAGGATGACGAACAGCAGAGGTAATAACCCCCTTTCCCTTTCTTCGCTCGGATACAAGTATATTCTTTGTAGATCTCGAATGTGTGTGGCCAAACTCACTTTTTGCAGCTATTGTAGAGTTTTTATTGCACAGATTTGGAATCATTTTTTAATCATAGCTTTCTTCTGTTACTTTTAGTTTGAGGTTAGAAATCTTTGAAGCTTTAGAAAGGCATTCAGCTGGGCAAACGAGTTCTTGGATTTTCATGGATTATGCAGCTATCAAAATCGTATAGTATTCACCATCCTAATGACCTAGATTTTATTTCTCCTCCCTCAGAAAATTTGAGCCAATGGATTTGGGGTGTGATTAAAAAAGCGTTTCCTTTCGTGCAATATGTTTGGTACAAGAGGGTTAGTGTTGCCCACAGTTGAGCTTGATCATTTTCCTTGAAAAATGGTCAAGGTTTCACTAGCTCAATTATGCCTTTGTTTTATGATGCAATCTTCCTGTTTTTTGTTGCTGTGCTTTGTTGAGTAGATAATTTTTTGTCATGTTGAAACACTATTAATTCATGCAGTAGAATGTTATTTTACTCTATTTTCTTGTATTCTGTATTATTTTGTTATTAAAGGTGGATTGTGCGTGATAAAGTAGGTATGCTCTCCTCAATTTTGTAGGAATGGCGATAAATTACAGGGAATTGGCATATGGTGGTTAGATCTGGATGTTTTTCTACCTTAATTATTTTGTTGAGATATTGGTTTTGAAATAAGTTATTTCCTTATATATAGTACTGATCCTAACTAATTTGAGGGGTCATTTGCTATCACTTTTATTATTAATTTTTATGTAGTTTTTTATTTTTGTTTTTTTTAGTTTCTATTATGAAATAAAAGAATAAGTTGGGATTTTTTGCTTTATTATTTCAAAACAATAGAAAAAATTTGATTTCCCTGCTTCCTTTGCCTGGGTAGTGTTCCTAAAATCATGCCATCCCTCATGATGAGCTGACAAGAGGTCTCAATGATTTGAACGAAAGCCTCATCTAGCCTTGATGAAGGCAATGCAAGATTCTTTAAAGCTTCTCCATCAATCAGATGAATCTTGTTCTCTTTTTAAAAATCACAATAGCTTTTGAATCAACCGTAGAATTTATGGCCAAGACTTTTGAGGAATCACTCAAAAAGCCTTTTGATGTGGCGGTTAGAGTAAAAGTGATGGTGGAAGTAGTATAGATGATGGTGGTGGGGATGGTGGAAGTTGTGTATCATCAAACACAATAGTTTTTATGTCAAATTTAGAATTTGTAGTGAGATTTTTAGTGGAATCACTCGGATGTAGGAGTTGGAGCTAGAGGTGAAGCTGGGAAGTAGAGTGGTGATGGTGTTAGGAGAGTTGGACATGGTGCTGCAGGTGAAATTGTGGGAGGAGCCACCGGTCAACCAAAATATGAATGTGCTTGATGTGCTGATGGAAAGGAAGGTCAGGGGGAGCTTATAAGAAAGGGTCTGCTAAGCTAGGAGAAGCTTGCCATAGTGCAAGATAGAGATGCATTATGTGAGTCATCAAAAGTCAAGTGGAATGAGATGTACTGACAGATTTCTTTGGGAGGTAGAGTGGTGATGGTGTTGGGAGAGTTGGGGATGGTGGTGCAGGTGAAATTGTGGGAGGAGCCACCAGTCAACCAAAACAGGAATGTGCTTGATGTACTGATGGAAGGGAAGGCCAGGGGGAGCTTATAAGAAAGGGTCTGCTATGCTAGGAGAAGAGGGCCATATTGCATTATCACAGTCGTCAAAATTCAAGTGGAATGAGATGTACTGACAGATATCTTTGGGAGTCTAACTAGAATCAGATGTCCATAGTTGATGATCAAAAGTAAACAAACTTTTTTTTATAGTTTTCATTAATTTTTTTAAAACTAAAAAATAGATGTTGAAAGTTGAATAGGAATGAATTCATCCATTCCTATTCAACTTTCAACCTCTATTTTCTTAATATTGGCTGATCTATGAATCTCGCAGTACATCTCCGATGAATTCTAGCAGTACATCCATTCCTATTCAACTTTATTTTCTCATTTTTAGTTTTTAAGAAATTAATGAAAACTATAAAAAAAAGTTTGTTGGGGGGTTGAATTGGAATGGGAACCATATTTAGTTGGAGAAAAAATGCTACCTTGGAAATATTAAAATGAAAACTTTTTAAAATTTTCTTTTTAAATGAAACCATTTGCTTTTTAAATAAAAAAAAAAATGCTATCAAATTTGTTTTGTTATCATTTTAATTATCTTTTAAAAAGAAAATGAGAAAAATAGATGCAAAAAAAAGGTGCAAAATGGGAACTTAATCTTTTGGGTTCAACTGTTGCCCATCTTATCAGCCAATTCCATCTTCTGAAATTTTGTTAACTCAATTTGGTTACAATCAGTACTGGCTGATCTATGAATCTTTGTTTTTCTTTTTCAGACGAATATTTGTTGTTTGTGAATGCTGGTGGGGGCTTCATACAAGCAGAAGATTCTAAAATTAATTTCAAAGGAGATTCATTTTACGAAGGAGGAGATGTTATTGAAACTAATGAGATGATTGTTGATGGTGGTGATTATTGGTCCTTGTATAAATCTGCACGTTTTGGTAACTTCTGTTACAGGTTTTCTGATCTTCCCCCTGGAGAGTACTTTGTTGATTTGCACTTTGCCGAGATAGTTTACACAAATGGACCTAAAGGAATGAGGGTTTTTGATGTATTTGTTCAAGATGAAAAGGCAAGAGAAAAACTCATCCCTGCTCATCTCTTTTGTTTTCTATCCTTTTCTTCCAATAATGTTTCTGAAGCACCTCCTTCTCTGTGAGAACTGCAGATATTATCAGACTTTGATGTGTATGCTATCGTCAGGGCAAATAAGCCTCTGCAGGTAGTTGATGTTAGGGTTTTTGTGCTGAACGAGGGAATGTTAGTTCTAAGATTTGAGGGAAGAAGTGGAATTCCAATGGTTTCTGGGATATCAATCAGGAAAGCTACAAAGCTACAAGGTACTAGCCCTGCATTCTTTTATGTTGACTGCAAAAGTTCTGATATAATCTTCTCTAATTGCGTCCCTTTATTAGTAACTATACCGAGTCAATACATAATCTGACTTGTGATCTATTGCAACTTACTTTTACTGCAGCGATTTTGAAGCCTATAATATGCAATAAGTGTGCCAATGCCCAAGAAATTTCTCCAACTCAGGTCAGGATTTGTTTATCATAGCAATTTGAATTTGTTTACTGCAATTATAAAGACAGAAACAATTACATTGATTAGATTGTGTTCATTTTATGTTTTCTTCATGTTGCAGTATAGAGCTCAAAATTCAAAATTTCTTGCAAAATATGAGAAAAAAATAGAGGAGCTGACTGCACAATGTAAGATGATGTCTGATGAGTGCCATGAAGCTTGGATGTCACAGAAAGCCACAAATGACCAATTAGAGGAGCTAAAAATGGAACTCAACAATAAGATTTTCCATACAGAAAATTTAGGTAAACGAAATATGACAATGCAAGGTTGTATTTCTCTATTAGACAGTTTAGTTTGATGAAAAAGAGTTGTTTCATGTGTTGTCAGAAATGAGCCTTGGCACATTAATGGACAAATTAAGAATTGTTAGTGAAAAGTATGAACATGACCAGAAAAAGTGGATTTCCACAATTACTGATTTGGATGGAAAAGTTAAGGTGAGGATTTAGTAGATGTCATGGAACATTAATGCTATCAGTCATACAAAAGCTGTTTAATTTTAATTTGCTTTTAATGGTGAATGTCTTAGGTTATGAAACAAGAGCACCAGCAACTATATCTTGAAGCTTATGAGTGCGCCGATTCGATCCCCGATTTGAACAAGATGATAACTGCTGTGAAAACCTTGGGTACTATAGAATCAAATCATATCAATGGATCTTAATTATTTGTCTCCCGGTATCATCTCATGGCTTTCTTCTTTTATTCAGTTGCCCAATGTGATGATCTTAAATCAAAGTATGCTGAAGAGATAACCAAGGGAAAGAATTTATTCAACTTACTTCAGGAAACAAAAGGCAGGTACTTCCTGTTTTTTCGGTCTGCTTGATTAATTATTTTTGCTTAAATTGCTCGGCGTGCATTTTGTTTTGCTTTCAGGGAATATCAGAGTGTTCTGCAGATGCCGCCCTCTGAATAGGGAGGAAGCCTCATCTGGCTATGTCACTGTTGTAGATTTTGAGGCGGCTAAGGATGGAGAACTTGGAATCATCACCGGAGGATCCACGAAGAAAACCTTCAAATTTGACAGAGTCTACACTCTAAAAGATGATCAATGTAAGTGTTCTCAGATTTGGATGGAATCCAATATGTTGAAATAGCTGGGATATGGCTGACAAAATTTGCAAATTGAATTGTGATAGCTGCACATGCTTTTAAACTTTGCATCAGTTTGCGGGTGAATTGTATAGAAGTGCTTCCCCAAAAGGCTCTAGACTAATTGGGTTTAGTGATTCTTGATTTGTTGAATAATTTATCATTCCATGAGCAGCTGATGTGTATGCGGATGCATCACCTCTAGTGGTATCAGTAATGGATGGTTACAATGTCTGCATATTTGCGTACGGGCAAACTGGCACTGGGAAGACATTTACAATGGAGGGAACTGAGCGAAAGAGAGGAGTGAACTACAGAACTCTGGAAGAATTATTTAAGACTGCTGAGGAGAGAAAGGGGATGTTTGATTATAAAATCTCTGTCAGTGTTTTGGAGGTTTATAACGAACAAATCAGGGACCTGCTTGCAACATCTCCATCATCAAAGAAGTAAAAATTATGTTACTATATTTTAGTAGTTCATTTTTTTTGGGCTTAATAAAAATTGAAAGATTAAAATTAATAATATCTTGTTTTGTGGTTGTTGAAAGGTTGGAGATAAAACAAGCTGGTGAAGGATTTCATCATGTGCCAGGAATAGTGGAAGCCAAAGTTGAGAACATAACAGATATTTGGAAAGTCCTACAAGCTGGTAAAAATGCCAGAGCGGTTGGATCGAATAATGTCAATGAGCATAGCAGTAGATCTCACTGGTGCGCAGGGCTTTTGACATTTTAATGTTCCCTTTCAGTGGTGATATCAGTTTTCTCATATTTTCTTTTAAAAATTCGTTTTCTCCAGTATGCTTTGTATAATGGTGAGGGCCATGAACTTGATGAATGGTGAATGCACGCGGAGCAAGCTTTGGCTAGTTGATTTGGCAGGCAGTGAGAGGCTTGCAAAGACTGATGCACAGGGGGAAAGACTCAAGGAGGCTCAGAACATAAATCGATCGCTTTCAGCACTTGGAGATGTAATATCTGCCCTAGCAAGTAAAAGCAGCCACGTTCCTTATAGGTTGAAATCAAACTGAAGACTTGCCACAAGTTTTCTTGTTTAGATTCATTCATTTTCTTATTAGTCTTTCACTGTTTCTTACAGGAATTCAAAACTGACGCATCTGCTGCAAGATTCATTAGGTACTTTTTACTTCAAGAGCTCTCTAGCAACGAATTCAGCTAGAAACCATACCTTTGCTAAATTCATTAGGTACTTTTGAATTACACAGGTGGTGATTCAAAAGCTTTAATGTATGTACAAATAAGTCCCACAGAGAATGATTTGAGCGAGACACTTAGCTCGCTCAACTTTGCAACTAGAGTCAAGGGAATTGAGTTGGGTCCTGCAAAAAAACAGGTTGACACAGGCGAGCTTCAGAAGTTGAAACAGACAGTGAGTTTGGGGGTTTATCTTTTTCTATTTCTGTTAAGGAATTCCTGGATTTCAATCTTCTTCAATAGTTTTTGCAATAACTTTACCATCATTTATAATCTGTTTTGAAGATCGACAAGCTGAAACTGGAATGCAAATCTAAGGATGAGTCCATGCGGAAACTGGAGGAGAACTTCCAAACCTTCGAGAGCAAAGTGAGAGGAAAAGAGCAGATGTGCAGAAGTCTGCAAGAAAAGGTATTGATTAGCATTTAAATAAATAAAGCAAACTACCCATACTGATCATAATTTATACTTGTAATCTTAAAATCTGTGTGCGTTAAATTTGTTGCAGAACAAGGAACTTGAAGTCCAGCTCGAGTCAAAGATGGACCTTCAAAGCTTTTCAGAGAGGCAAAATATGCAGCTTTCAGAGAAGCTGAAGGCAACGGAAGAAACATGTGCTGCACTTCAACATAAGGTTATTTGAAAAGAACCAACCATTTCTTTTTTGTGTTTTTCAATATGGAAAAAAGTATGCATCCACCAAAGGCACATTTTCCACAGGTAAAAGAGCTGGAGCACAAGTTGAAAGAGAAAGAACATTCTGAGACCATTACTCTTCAGCAAAAGATCAGGGATCTTGATCTGAAGCTCAAAGAACACCAGCGTTCAGAATTAATAGCTCAACAGATGGTAATAATTATGAGCCAGTTCACTACTCTTTCTCCTTTTTTGTCAAGCACAGGTTTTTGTTTACTTACTTGTGTGCACTCTATTATTAAGGTTCATGATCTCGATATGAAGATTAGAGAGAGACAACGATATGAATGTTTTCTTGAACAAAAGGTAGAATTTTTTTTTTATCATATGACGGTTTCATACGCATGGAAGATACTATAGTTGTCACTTGACAGTTGATTAATAATTTTACAATATCCAGGTCAAGGATCTTGAGGAGAAGCCTAGAAAAAAGGAAGAAAAGACACTAATGAAAACTAAAAAGATTACAGACTCAGCTGAAAAGAAATCCTTGACAAGAGAAGAGTCTACAGGCGATACTGATCCTATGATCCTGAGAAGCTCATGTTCTGTCAATAGGCCAATTGCAGCCAAGGGTTCTATTTTTCTGAAGGATGAAGAGACCAACCTTCATGACATAAAAATAGAAAGAGAGCCAGAGAACAATATTGGGTTGCTCATGGCTTTGATGGAAAAGAAAATGTCACTTCCAGGTGAAACAAATAGGAAGAGGAGAATAGATCAAACCAAGGCGCCAGGAAGACTGACTAGAGCGACAAAGACAGCTACTTCTCAAAGAACAAATCCTCATACTAGAAGTAACAAAGAGCAGAAGTCAGTAGCAGGAATTCAGTACCAGGAATGAAGGAGAGGGATAGGGTAAGAAACTGGTTGTAAGCATTTTGCTTGTTGTAAATTCTGTGTCATGGGTGCTTTATGAAAAAACTCATTTCAATTTGAAAATAGTCAGGTCAAACTTTAGCAATCTTAGCTTGTGGAGTGCAATTCTGTTATTGAAATTTGCTGATATATTCCCTCTTGTATGTTACTAACATTTGACAAAACTAATTTCATAATCATAATCATTTTCTTTATGAAGTTAATTTATTTAACTTGGTTTTCTTCAAGTGCATTCTTGTAAAAGTTTATTATCATGTTGTTCATAAACCTTTTGGAAAGAAAATAAAATTGCGCCAGGAGTTATTGAGAGAAATTTGGTCATGAGCTCCTTGAACAAAGGTAATTTATGCATATTAGTAATAATTTTGTTTGATTAATTATGATTATTTTTGTGACGATTGAGGAGTTTCTAATCAGATTTTTGTCAATAATTGCCGAAACTTTTTTTTCCTAAACTTTTTTTTTATTTCAATTTTTAAGATTTTGGGCTTTGCATAATCTATCTGTCAAATCTCGGGTCTGAACGATGGTACACTCCGGCAACACAAAACGTGATTATTATATTAGACTTATTTTGTAATTACGAAAAGAGATGATTGTATACAAATAATAAATAAAAAAAGCAAATTAAGGTAAATTTTATTTCATTTTATAAATAAGAATTTAACAACTAATATAACAGAAGAAAAGACAATAAACTTAACTTATTGAAAGGAAATATGAAATGATAAAAGATAAGTAGCCTCCCAACCCCAAAAGGGAATACAATAACTAACGCAAGGATTGAAAATATTAATAGTAAAGTTAATGTTTAAATAGTTGCTCCTAAGATGTCAGCCCTCCGAACAACTTGGTAATGACTTGGTAGAAGCTTCTAGAAAAAATCACAATTTATTAAAGCATAAATGATATGGTATTGGAGCACGCAAAACCAAGAAATAATTTAGAGCATCAAAGGTTAAATTATCTCGTATATGTTAGAGACAACCTCAACTTAAGGAATAGGGTAATATCTTTATTTATTTTGAAGAAGAATATAGCATAATTTTAATTAATTCATACTAACACAAAGTTGAAAAAATCTTATATTTACGTTTTATATGAAAAAAAATTATGATAGTTTAGATTACACAAGTGTTGAGATGATAGATTTTTTGGAAGTTGATGAAGAACCTCCCCTGAACTTGAGTATGATGATTTAGATGGTGAAATTTACAAAGAAGATGTTATTCCATATTTTGGAAATCACAACATAGCATCAAATATGCAAACTCAGTGTAAGTGCTTATTTTATTTAATTTGAAATTTTATATTATTTATTTGTTTATACTGTATCATGACCCAGCCCGAAGCTTGGAATTAATTACGGCGGGAACGGACAGTCGGATGATGAAAATAAAATCTCTGTTATTCACTTTTTATCATTGATAGTTTAATATTCAAATATTCATAAAAGAGTCACTAAAGAAAAGAATATAATTAACAAGCATAAATTTGTACATTACTAATTGTTGTTCTTGACTCTTATATATATTTGATACTCTTTTATTCATCTTGTTCAAAAGCTTACAACCAAAAAAAAATATTAAAGCAACATAATGTATTATCTAAAGATAACCTAGAAATAATCACACTTTTAAGCAACATTAACACAAGAAAAAGAAATCAATATGTATGATGATCCCTCATATCTCTATAAGAAATCTTATAATATGTTTGTCTTTCATAATTTTATAGAAATCTTATATATGCTAATGCATGTAATATGACATTTTCTAAATGAAAATACTCAAGTCTTATACATGCATTTACTTTTACTTTATATTCTTTACATACACAACTATCTCTTTAAGGATCACCATTAACAAAACCTAACATACCTTTGACCGATATTAGATTGTTGGCACGACAATAAACAATCTAAATATCGTAATTGTATGGAGTGGAAAGGCACTTATATGTCGTGGCCAATATTCTCACGAGGAATAGCGGTTAATGATGTAAAGATCATAATTCTCTGGGGTGATAAACTCTGTCAACTCGCTTATATTCTATATTATCTCATCAGCATAGCAATTAGTGATCCAATCTCATAATTATCTCATTTGGTAGAAAAACTACGTGTGTGGGTACACTTATACCCTACCTGTACCTTAGTGGGTGAAATCCTCTGAACTTACACATACAAGTATTAATATATAAGTTATTTAATTCTTCACATCATACATTCTTCTGAGATCTCATCATGCATCTAAAAATATGTGAACTTACTCTTTTGTGCAACTAATCATCACACACATCTCTTATATCATGCATATCTATCATATCATTCGTATCTCTTATCATATGCATATCACTTGTATCATGTATATCTTTCATATCAAATATATCTTACATAACATGTCTATCATATATAGCTTGCAACTCATACATATATTTTATGCATATCTTTCTATCCAACAATATGAAGAGTCTGATCATATCATTCGTATCTCTTATCATATGCATATCACTTATAGCATGTATATCTTTCATATCAAGTCTATATTACATAACATGTCTATCATATATAGCTTGCAACTCATACATATCTTTTATGCATATCTTTCTATCCAACAATATGAAGAGTCTGATATAATATAAATCAAACTGAATTAAAGCATATATGTAATCCATATATATTTTGAAATTAACAAGACTACTGAAATGTAAAAATGTAATTACTAAACTCAATTCTCACGTTAGATCCTTAATCTTTGGTAACTAGTTAGACATTATGATAACTTTTATATGAATATTACTAACATATATAACAAAATACTAAACTTTAAATTTAAATTATTTTTTTATTCAAATTGTTCTTCTTAAGTGAGCATAGGATTAATTTACCTGAATTTACAGAGCCACCTACGACTATCTTTCACACACTCACCTTGAGCTTGCCACCTCGTGCAAATAACTTGGAATCTATAAATATCTTAGAATTTTAGAATATCTTGGGTCATAAAGCAATTCAACCCAAAAAATAACTTTCATACCTCAAATGGGCTTCTCCACACAACCAACCTTCTTAGATCCTGCCAAATCATCTTCCCTCTTTCTTTTTATCTTTGCTTACTCCTCCCTTCGCTTTGTTGATTTCTCTCTAAAAACCCGTATGAAAGTTCAAAAGCTAATTTTGTTGCTTTCCATGCAACCTCGTCTTCACTATAACGACCGCCTATGTCAAAATGGAAATTCGAGGAAGAAAAGAAATGCTTAGAATATGACTAAAGTGAGTTTCACACTTACCGATTTCATCTCGAAGTTTGGATTGAGAGCAGCGGCATTCGACGTGTCGCTTGCCTCTTGTAGACCGCGACACTGTGGGACGCAGGGAGTGTTTCCTGCGAGCAAAACTAAGAACAATGAGAGATTCTAGACGGAGGATCTCGCCTCTTCTGATGCTTATATTGCACTGTTAGTTGTGGAAAACCAAAAAAAGTGATTTTTTAGGGTTAACTAAATTTAATTAACCTTGTAACTCCTGATTTTTATATCTTCCAACCTACTTATAATTTATGCATAGTCTTTTATATCAAATTAATCGATTTGACGTGACTTGTGGAGCTGTATAAAATTTCTTCGGTTGAAATGTGAGGTGCGAAATTTGGGGTGTATTTTAATTTATCAAAAAATTTATCTGATTTCCCGAAACTGATTATTACATACTGCACATCTATAACAAAAAAATCTTCAATGTGTAGAGATGTTGGAGATTTCAATGATGCTACAATTAAAAATATTGAATGTGATGATTTTGAAGCTTTCAGAAAAAGAGCTGATAGACATACAACTGTTGGAGAAACAAATTTTGTGGGGATCTTTATTGAAGATGAAGTTTGAATGTGTCATTTTTAAATTAAATTATTTCTAGTTTTATGTATATTTTCTAATTGTCATTTTTTTTATCTAAAGTAAATTTTATTTTAAGAAATGTGTGTGAAACTCTCAATTCTTTTATTTATATACATTATATATTTTTTATTAAGACTTTATTTTAATATGATTAATGGTCCATTAGTTTTATACTTAGAATTTTACACCTTTCATTTGAAATTTAAAGTTGTTAAAATAAATGTGTACGTTAAATTATGGCCATTTTCAATTCTTAATTGTTATTAATTTGTTCATTATTTTTATTTTTGCATTAATTTCATTATTTAGGTCATACTTAATTAATATTTATATTTATTATGTCATTCAGTTCAAACCTTTGTTGAACCATCAACACTGAACATTTTATCCTTCCAATTTGATGATATATGCATGAAAAGGCTTATTTCACTTTTAAAAAGATAATAAATATGGTATTTTTATGTTTTGTTAGATCACATGTGATATGCAAGTAAATGTGAAGGTTTAGATGTCAGATTTGTAAATAGATGCAAATTATGCGTTATGTATGCAAAAGCTCCTTAAATAAAATGAAAAAATATTACATCAGGACTCCGCACGTAGAGTTACGTGTGGGGTCCAATGAAATCACGCCACACACGTGAAGTGAGAAAAAAAATCGGTCTGGTAACACAGGGGAATATTCCTCTCATGTTTCTCAAGTGTTATTGTGTATCATTCAAGTGTTATTGATGTGTTATTGTGTTATTATAACACCAGGAATATTCCTAGAATATAATAACACATGAATAACATACAATAACACCTGAATAACTTTGGGGGAATATTCTCCTATGTTACCGGGCCGATTTTTTTTCTCACTTTCACGTGTGACATGATTTCATTGGACTTTGCACGTAACTCTACGTGCGGATTCCTTATGTAATATTTTTTCAAATAAAACGGGATTATCACAATTTTTAATAGTAAAATTAAAGAACAAGAGAATGTGCTTTTATGCAATTCATTTTTTAAGCCAACATATCTTAAAATAGATTGTGTCATGCATGGAATCACTCGCCTCAATTG